ATTGTTTCATAAAAGCATACTCGTTTGCAATATCATTATCAAATATTTGGATTATATATATTTTTTTTAGGGAAAACAGATTTTCCGTGCATTGCGGCTTAAAAAATTGTGAATCATACCAAATGAACAACAACATCCACTAGGTTATCTTCTATTTAGTTTGAATGAATTAGCCAAAGCAAATTTATTGGATTTGCTCAGTTAATAACTAGCTGTATGTGGCATTTTGCTTTAAAAAAGTTGCAAAAAATTTCCCGATATGTGCAAATAATCGACATAATTAATGCGAATTGATATTTAGCACATTTTTTTAAATTAAACGATTTCTTGTAGGCCTGTGATATTTTAGGAAGTTCGTTAAGACCATGAATTATATTACTATAAAAAATATTCAACAATTACTAAGAAATGGCCCGACCAATATTTACCAAAAACTAGTTAGCACATTCGTCAATTGATGCTTTTCGAAAAGTGTTTAAATGTTTCAGAAATGTTCGAAATTGATTTCGTGAAAAACGTGGAAAAATGTTTGCTGTTGTCTTCAATTAAATAAAAATAATTCGGTCTAAATATATTTCTCATAAATCTAATCAATATGAGTCCTTTTCGTGTTTTATCGAAGGGTTTTAACTTTTTGACATAGGTTCGCACACTTATTTTTTTATTTTTGATATCAAACGATTTAAAATGAAACGCCGAGAAAACATGAAATTGTTAAATCAAATTTTCTGATTACCAAACCATACCAAACTTCTTTGTAGAATGAAAAAAATATATATTTTAATTGAAATTTTGCAATAATAAACCGCATTTCGAGTAGATTAATTCGTTTTCGCAATATATTAATAATGAATATTTCTGAGTCTTGATTACGTTACAATTTTTTTAATTAAATTTATGTTAACTAACTCATCAATCGCTTCGATTACTATGTCTTAAAAACTATTTTTAAAATATTTATTACGTTTTAATGTTATTGGTATCATTTCTTTAATAAAACCAAAAAAAATTAGCAAATATCAATAAAAAAAAAGTTTTACATACTTAGTCAAAATTTATTTATCTCGCTATAGTGAGCATGAATATATATACTCATAAATTAATTATTCAAACTTATAATTATTTTTATGTCAAATGAAAACGCATTTGAAATGAATTTGCTATTACTTTAATTATCAAAATGTATAAGAAATTCTCAAGTATAATTTAAAGACCAATTAATTTTCATTCTAGTTTTGAATTATAATGAACGGAGAAATCATTATTTTAGCTAAATATTAATCAAAATATAAATGCACTTTCTTAATTTCCAAGAAATAATCGTAGATAGCATAATTATAGAATACTTAAGATTTAATATTCTGCGTGGAAAACTGTATCTTGAAAACGTCTTATGAAATTAAAATAGTTTAGAGTAGTTCCCAGAAATATTTTTTTTATTGGAATAACTGAATTAGAATAAAATAATTATATTTAAAATATTATATGGATTACCTTTATAGAATGTATATTTCATGTAAACGGATTTTGATTTACATGCAATATTATATTTTATTATTTACATATTGATATATGAGAATTTATTCACTTTACCAAATAACAATATAATATTATAATTAAAATATTTATTATATATATACATATATATAGGCATATTTTTATATGTAATTTCTATTACATAATAAACAAAAATTATAGCATATTAGCGCGACAAATACCAAAAAACACAATAAATTTCAAAATTATGTGCAATTCAATATTATTTTGAATCACTATAATTGCTTATGCCATAAGAATCACTTAATATAAAATAAACGTTAATGAGTATTCACATTTTTTACTTACCAAAAACTGTTAGCTTACCATAATTTATATTTTTCATAAGACACAGAAACCCAAACTTTAAATATATGTTATTTATATGAGTACATCGGTTACTATAACGCAGTGTACTCTAATAAAAAAATTATTGTGGGCCTTTAATTTTTGCAACAATTTAATTTTATAAATACTCAACTGATAAATTGAGACTACAAATTAATACGCAATATTATGTAGTGATATGCATCAATATTAATTATTTTTTGTTTATTTGTTAACATCAATTCAAAAATTTTGGTTTATTTTCGAATATAGTATTCTAGAAACAAATGTACGGGCCCTCCTTAGAACAGCCTGGCTCCCCACAGGTTGGAAACCACTGCTAACAAATTTTATACTATTATACTATGAATTTCCTGAGATCAAAAGATGATCCAAAAACATTGTAAATATAATAATGTAAACGAACTTTCAATAAATTTGATAATGTTTATATCATAGATAAAATAAGAGTATATATGGTTTCTATACCCTGGTAACTCTACCTATGTATTAAACGTAAATTTACCTAGAAACACCTGCTAACATCTATATTTTCTTCTCTCTAATATAACGTTCAGGGTTTAAAGTAATGAAAAGATAAATGTACTGAGGTAAAAATCTGTGGTTTTTAACATAATTTGTTTGAATGTGATACACACCCGTACATGAAGTATTATTATATATTATATATTATTATATATTATATACATGTGCCTTGATAATTCCTTATGTGCAGCTTGAAAAGTTGCATTTAAAAAATAGCATTTTTCTAGAAAATTTAGTATTGATTTTCGTTTAATTTACTATTTTCGAACGTAGCAATACCATTAGGGGAGACTGGCTACCCACATCCTGGTGGTGTGGACGGTTGAATTGGTATAAAAATAACGACTTTTTTGTCAAAAGTATGTAACACAACACAACATAATCATTTAAACAAAGCTTATGAATATAATAAACAAATATATAACAAAACATGAGTTTTTTAACAAGAAATCTTTATGAAAACTTTTGGTTTCTTGTATTTAATTTTCCTTTCCCTTTCTCTGTCATATGTTGCTTTGGTTAAGTTAGATTTTTCTTAATCTGTTTAAATTTCATATAAAAAGAAGAAGAAATACATGTTACAATATAAACATGTCACATAAAACAAAACTATAATGGGAATTTACATTATCAAACTTAAAACATCTTCTCCCTTTGGACTCTTATCTCAAAATCAGTATAGTTTACCTGTTAAGATGACTGTCAGTACCGTAACCTGGCACAACCGTACCCAGTCACCCCTACTACAAAAGGCCTCGTTCCTGTAAAAAAAATTAATTCGATTAGTTCAGTAATCTGTTATATGAAAGAATGAGCAGAGATTGTTGACATAATATACTTGTATATAACATAAATATACTTGGAATATGTCTGGATGATAACCAATTTTAAAATATTGTTATAGGCCAGTGACTTCCCAAGTAGTCTGTATCAACCCCTAGAAATCTATGAGAAGTTGCAAAAATTTTCTGTCAGCAAAACAAAAAAAAATTTAGGTCCACATTAAAATGGATGCTCAAGATATGATGATAATTTCATAATAAAATATCAGATTCATGATGCTTACCTTATTTTGTTATTTCAATTTCTATCAATAATATAAATGGCATAAACCGATTATTTGCAAATCATGGTAATCAATGTTTTCTTATGTGCAATATGAACCAAAGGAGAATTACCAGTAAAATTATAATAAACAAAGAAAAGTATACGTTTTTACCCTTTCACTACAAATGTTTTTAGTTTTTTAGAAGTTCATTGACGATAGTTTGAAAATCCAAAAATATTTTGTGCAACAAATACTTGGGAGGATTACCAGCATGTACAGCAGCATAACTTCTGCAGAAAAAAAACTCTTGTAGCAAAAGGATTAATACATCTACCATCACACTCAATATAACCAACTAATTATTATGGTAAAAGAACGAATACCAGTTTTTTAAATTTAAATATTCATATATTCTGTAATCCAGATCGACATACACCATTATTTCTAATAATACATTTTATTATCATAACAAGTGTACTTATAGTTGTACAAGAATACTGTCCATTGAGATATAATTTATAATTATAGTAACGATGTAGTTTAGGATATACTTCACGATATAAAATAAGGAAGCAGATATAAAATAATTTCATAACAAAAGTGTACTAAAATAATCTTCGATATAAGTAGCAACTAAAATAAATTGTAATTTAATAATTACTGCTTCATGAATTGTTTTAAATATAACACAATCTAATATTATATACATATTCTGATATCTTTGCCAATGCTGTTAACACTTCAATTGTTTGAAATATAAGTTAATAATTTTAATTGGTACACTATGATTTAAAATCGTCACACATGCAAAAAGTCGGCAGTGCATGGTAATTTGTTGAATTTCAATACTTGTATTGCTAATTTACAAATCACTGATCACATTAACTATCACAAATCTACCAGTACTTTCTGACTTCACTTACAATATAAAAAATATTTTTTTTGATTATTTAAAATTGCAGTTGTCCAAACTATTTTTTTTTGATGAACAAATTTCTTAAAATAAAAATTTGTCATATCAATTAAGTATTTTTGAATCATACTATACCCAGGCATAAGATATTTTAATTTTGTTTTCTTACTTTACAAAATCTAATTCATTGTCATATCATTTAATTCATATTTCTAAGCATAAAAAATCTTATGTCTGTGTCATTGATTCGGATCAAAATGTAAACATAAAACCTTTGAAATTAATACTGTACTATTCCATATAGATACATCTCTTTTTAAAATAAAAAAATATATATTTGGCTCTCGAATTACCGAGACTGTAATTTTTGTATAAAAACTTATAGCTGATGATACATCATTACCGGTTAAATAATTTCATTAAATTAATGGAATGATGCGGAATTAGAATTACGTTTCACAAGAAAACTTTATAAATTAAGTAAGGACAACATACATAAATAGATTTCTAGCTAGAATTAATAATTCATGTAACAATTTTATATTCATATATTAACCGCATCATTTTTAAATTAGTCTTATTATAACCAAAAAATTGTATATTAAGTTTATTTTGTATAAATCTCGTAAGTATAATTTTATTGTTCCTATGTTGGAGGCACCGAAACTTTTTATCAAACGTAAGTGTTTATGGAAAATATATTAATACTATTCCATCACCAAGTTTAATATATTATATTCAAGTGTCCTACTGACAAGGAAGAACTTTATTTCGCATTTTTATAAAATGTCCGAACACACATATACTCATTTGAAATTTCACACGTCCGCTTACTTAGATAATTATTCTTATTTATCCCCTATGAGATCACATTTAATCTTCATCTAAAATTTCTTGAAGTAGTCTTCTAAGACTGTCAACTCCTGTAAGGAACCCACAGTCAGGGCCGTGGTGAACAGTTGTGTTAGCGCTCGTCGAGCCATTTTTATTGACAAATGTTGTATGGGCAAAATCAATAACTCGAACATCAACCTTTTCTCCGCTGGAGTTACTGCTAGCAGTTTTTCGCAAACTTTTACGTTTGATTCCGTTCTGAACGTTCAACGTGATAGGTTTGCTCGAAGCTTTCTGTGAGCTCTTACCATCTTTACTTCTCTGTTTTTTCTTTAATTTAACATTACTATCAGCATGATCTACAGCTCCATTCGTAAATGGCAGTTCCATACGGTGTCTTTTCAAATATACATCTGTCTGCTCGAAATCCGAGTTGGTATCATCGGAACTGTGCATATCCGTTCTCACTAAACACATGTCGTCGCTAGAATTACCTGAGTATACTGTCCAGGAGTCTATCGACATCGGACTCGTGCCTGAGACTTCTGGGGAATGTGATTCAGGAAAAACAGTCTCTTCGTTAATTGGATAGAAATTAGAAGAATCATCAGCGTCTTTTGTACCGCGTGCTACGGCATCAGCATAACCGCGGCTGTGAGAGTCAGCGCACAAAGCTTCATCGTAATACTCCATTTTGGATAAAAGCACTTTGCGAAAACTTCTATGTGATTCTTGCGACAATTCATCATGGGAAGATGAGAGATTGAGATCGGCGGATGAGTTGGATGCATCCGCGTCATAGCAGCAAACACGTGGGCCACTGGGACCGTCATAACTGCTAGATTCAGGTTCGAAACAACAATCATCTTGCATAGAATTAGCCGTCAAATACTCGTTATTGCGTAATAATAAAGAAGAAACGTCCGAATGCCCTTCATACACGACCAGCAGCGAACTAAAAACAGATACAAAATGTTGTCAAAACAAATGTATATAAAATAATTGATATATATATATATATATATATATATATATATATATATATAATGTTAAATATGATCAACCCAACACTCTTTTACCACACACTTTATTTAATAATTACAGACGTTTCGAGACCATGGTATGCCTCATCTTCAGTGTGATTTCAAAATAGTAAAAAATATATACTAATACATTATTTAATATTTTATTTAAATTATATTTAGTTTTTAAAAAACATAAAACACCAACTATCTCTTACATTGCTTGGCACAGTACTAAACATGTGAATATATACATAAATATTTGAAATCAAATCTTAAGTGTCGAAGATAAAATGAGAAGGATGGATATTATTATAATGTCATATCACTCATATCACAAAATTCTATGATATATATATATATATATATATATATATATATATATTTATTGTTTTTTTTTTCGAAATTAAAACATATTTAATCGGATTCGTCGAATTAATAAAGGTAAAATAATTTTCACTTCTCAATTTATGCGTTTCGACACTATCATCATTCAGTTGATCGAACAGCATGCATCATTCAGTTAATCGAACCAGGAAAGCCAAAGTATAAAATTTGGAACATGAATGTTTCTGAAAATGAAAAATTTAATTCACAAAAAACACAGAACAACAAGTAATATTTCAAAACAAAAATAAACCTCCTAAATATTTCAACAAAACAATTATACTTAATCTATCTTTATCAAAAGAGAAGTTCGCCTTTTCATTCAGAATGATCTTTTGTCAGTGTTTCTTTTGAAATATTAAATATTTCGGTGATTTTTGTTAAATGGGTTTTTAATTTTTAAAAATATTATTTGAAATTGTGTGTTTTGGAGTTTCCTGGTTTAATTTACTAAATGATGACATATATGAAGTATCTAAACTTACTAGGAAAGCAAAAGTATTCGACCATTTTCAATTTCGCGAATTGATTGCTAGTTTTTTCAATATTGCAGTACTATTATTTCTAGACACAGCACAGTAATGTGTATTGAAGTTTTTTTTTAATAATTATGAGTATTCTTTATTTCTGTTGTTTGTTGATTTGGTGATGTTAACACAAAAATTACGAATAAGTATTACTACAGTGCATAAACCCAATTACTATAATATTATTACTATAATATTTTACACTGAATGGGGGCTAGAATGATCGCCTTTAAACGTAATGATATTAGTTAAACTTCTTAGATCTTGTATTGATCATTAAAACTTAGCTCTTATGATATTGTTATAATTATTCCCACACCCATTTTCACATATTCAGAACAGTGTCAAGCTTTGTGATAGTAAAGTTGGTAGTTTATTCATAGTTTAACGAGATTTACGAACAATAAGTATTTTATAATTTGTTAGATGATGAGACATATCACGATTCCGAAACATCTGTAATTTAAATTTAAGAAATTAATTTTGTAAATTAGAATGGTGTAGTTGTTTATATTCACCTATTTAATATTTGTTCCTCTCATAATATAAAATTCCGCATACAATTATATCTAGATGTTTGTGTGTGCATGCGTTTGTGTGTAAAATATTCGATACATGTCTTTACAAAAATCTTGAAATATGACATCGATGAACTTTTTTATAAATCATAAAAACCAATAAGAAAACAATAATATTTTATAGAACAGAACAGAACAGAACATGTTATATCATTGCAGGTCGTAAATAAAATCGCAGACATTTATAAATGGAACTATAAAAAATATTTCATCATGATTAATATTTTCAATTTGTGCATTTGTACATTATCATGTACTTTGCAAATTATTATTTTCAAATTGTGCCACTCACCAAGAATAAAACCGAAAACTACTCTGCCTCTCTATAGCCTTCCTTAGTAGTACAAGTCTCTTCATAACACGATTTATGATATCTGTCCTGAGACGAAACCCATTATAAAAGAAAGTCCTTAAAGCAGCTTTAAGACCTTCTTCATTTAATTCTCTTCCCCAATATTTATCACGTTTTACGTAATGGTCCAAATCAGCATGATATACTTGCATTCCACAAAGACGGACACCAAGGGCGGCAGAGGTGGAAGCTGCACATTTTGCCATCTGCTTGGAACGTTTTTCTGCCGAGGCATCGTCTCCGTGCTGCCTGGTACCCATCTTAAGGTCTAAGATACAAGGTTGCCGATACGAAGATGTGATGTTCTCCAGCATTAAAAAATCTGGAAGATGATAAAATTAGACCAAAGAACTAGAAAATTAATTGCAATCTCATCATGCGTGGTAATTGATATTTAAACATTTTTGTACAATTGTGGATATATAGAATTATCATAAAAAATTAAACCAAGGTATTGTTAAGCTATATTTTTGGTAAAAGAAATAAACATTGTTTAAAAAATCTTAATGACTATTATTAACACACGTTAATCGCCACGATAAAACCAGAAAACTTTTTGACCATGGTAACTTAATTATATAATTTAGTTAACATGTATCTTGATAAGGAAACTTAATGAATCGAAGAAATTTTTTTTGGCAAAATTTCTGAAAAATGTACATACACATAAAAGGCTGACATGGCCCTATATTCAAACTTTTTGTCGAAATTTCTCGTAGTAACCCAAGAAATTTCCAGATTTTATTCTTGATAGGCCAAGATTTTGAAACATACTGCAAATGCATCGTTTGTGTCAGACATCCGTTAGACATATATGTCTGACATCACTAATGAAATATTTTTTAGAGTCAGACACATATGATTGGCATGGCGATTAAAGTGTTAACAAAGCTGCAAAGTAACAAAATATAATCTAACACTAAACGCTAGAAAACTATTATTATGTTACTATACATACTCCTCGTCGTACTGAAAACATGATTTTATATTATTATCATTATAAGAAAGTTAACCCTTTTGCTACAAACATACATATTTTAACATTTTACAATCAGTAATAAAAATAAATTTCAAAATCAATCTCTCACAAATCTAAATAACAAATTGGAATCCTCAGTAATTTATTTCAGATTGATAAATCTTAAAGTAAAAGTCGATTACTGGATGTCGTCTATCGACGACGCTAGCAGCGAAAGGGTTAAATATGAGTTAGTGAGTTATATGAATTAATTTTAGTAAATTTGCTTTTGCATCTACTTACATTGTTTATTACTATTATCGAGCTGGGAGATACTTTTCAGAACTTCTGAAGCATTTCCATTTCTGTGTACTTTCATCCTGTAAATTAAGATTTGATTGTTCGATTATTATTCAGTAATTCAAACACTAACCATCGCTTAAATATTAATAATAAAACAAATAATACATTCGGTTTATTTTGTAATTTCGTTTATTCATCTAAGCAGTATTCATTATGTGTTGATATATAGGTACTTATATACTATTTACACAATGTATTCACACAATGTATAACACAATATGGTACTAGCAATTAATATAAGCAATATATAGCCAACTCTCATTGCATTTTATTATATTGATATAAATCAGATGTAGTTTACATACTTTCTAAGTGTATTTTACATCATATATGTATATGTTCTGCAATACGTTTCAAAATAAATATATATAAAAAAATCAAAAAACACCATCAAATATTTATATCTATATATTTAATAAACCGTTGCATACACAATACATCAGATTAGCATAATAATGACAAACACAATGACATATCATATAATAATATGAGAAAAGGAAGATAAAGAAAAAAATATATAAAAATTACCGATCATGGGTATTTTAATGGTTATTTCTAGACTAATACAAGTTCCTATGGAAGTGAATTCGTGGTGTGAATTCCGCATGGACCGCGGACAGCATGAAAGTGTAGCTGAAATCATGAGGCAAGATCACATAGTTTGGCAATGACAAAATGGGACACATGAAAAGCCAATCACTTTTACGACAAAATAAAAGATGCTGATCGCGATACACGCAAACAATGTTCACTGAAATCGATAAAAAGATGCAAAATCAAGCAAATCAAAATCAGCTACAAGGCAAACAATGAAAAGCATTAACTCATCTATTGTAATCAATTCACGTGCAAACTAAATTATATGAAATCATATTTAAACAAAATACCATGCATGACTGTTTTTATATAATGCATTTTATCTTGACATAATTATCTGTATTGATAAGTATCACCAATCTAATTTTAAGCACCAGCATTATCCAGACTTTTAATACTTAAAATTCTATCAGATTTTTTAATATTATTCAATAAGCATTATAAGCATTTTATGATCTGACCAATTTGGCGTGATACTCAAATGTAATCTCCCTACTATATATATTTAAAATATCAAATAACACAAATGTATACAGTCATATATGTACAGTGGTACCACGCTCGTATGTCGAATCGCTCGTATCTCGAAGCAATTTTTCTTATTTAAATACATTAGAATGCCATTAATTCGTTCTAGGACGTTTTCAAATGTGTTTAATTAAAATTTACTATTTATTAAGTTGTTTTAGTATATACGCCGTTGGGTGTTACTTCTATTTCTTTAGTTAGTATTTTGAATGAATGAAGAAAAACGACAGATTGCAGAATAAAAATTTATAATAAAATAATATTAAATTAATTATTTCCCTGTCAATTCAATATATTTCGGAAAAGTGTAGACTTTTTTTGTTGAAAATGTTTTTCGAGGTGATTTCTATCAGCAAAATTTTAGAGCTCAAAAAGCTGCTTATAAATTATTGTAAGACGCTTAGCTAGAGTTTTATGTTTTCTCGACGTTTCAAGCCATTCTGAATCGAATGAGACGAAATGAGACGAAAAAGTATGTGTGTGTGTGTGTGTGCGAACACATTTTTTGCCGTAAATCGACGATTTCTCCAAAACGGAAGAACCGATGTAAACAATTTAAAAGCCGATCGATGTATCTAGATGAGGACTAGAGATTCTGAGTTTGTGCGACGATCGGCCGGGCCGTTTCTTTGTAAATTGCAGAAAAGTAAAAAAAAAATTATCCACGTTTTAGCCCGCAATTCTGAATCTATTTTGAAAACTCAAAAATCATTCGATCGATATTAGTTGGGAATCGTGCTGATTAGTTTTTGGTAAAGATCGGCCGGGCCGTTTTCTTGTAATAAAGTTTATAGCCTAATCAACTCATTTTTAAATACAGTACACATTTATGATGTGTTACTTACATAAATCCTCGCCATCCTCAAATTTTTTAATAATTTCTCGTTTTAATTCAAGAAATATGGCCATATTCTTTGGACCATGGTTATAAAAGTAAATAATATCTTGTAAATGTACAAAGAGCAATGATAAGGAACTCAACATATATAATTGTACAACCACTATTAATTTATTGTTAAAATTTCACACGTTAAAATAATTCTGGATATATTCGCGTAGGTAAATTGTTACTACAGAATTAATATTAATTAAAATGACTAACTATGAAATTTACTATCATAAAAAAACAAAATATTACTATGGTAAATAAATCATTGATACAACAGACAAAATTTTTTATATTTTCATTTTTCTGTAAACTCTTACTCGAGCAAAGCTCGTATGTGGAATTTTGCACGCATGTCGAAGCAACGAATCGCTCTTAAGCGACTCGTATCTCGAAACACTCGTATGTCAGGTCACTCGTAAGTCGGGGTACCACTGTACATATATTCTTTTTTTAAAGAAGCTATGCAAATTCTAGACAGCTTTCGAAAGCAAATACGCCAATAAGTTCCTTAAGCTTTTGTGCGTCATATATTTTACATTTTAATAAACAAATAGCAAATAGCGAAAAACATTACAATTATCATTTGTGCTTCAAGCATTATTTATAAATCAATCATGAAAGCAGTATCTTTTATTCAACGCAAAAGTGATTAGATTGATGGATCTTGTGACATGGTCTTCGTAAACGTGTTTAACCAAATGCAATACATTAACGATATAACGCATCTCACCTGAGTATGTCATCGCGTTTTCTTTTTCCCGTACTGGTGGAACTTTTTCTGACAGGCACGTCCATTTCCCGGAAACTAGGCGAATAGCGTTTGTCAAGCTTCGCACCATTTGTTCCGGACGCTTGCATCACTCCTGAAACAAGCGGCATGACATCATTAGGCGACATTCATTACTGATAAAATCAGGTTCTGTTATCATCGTGGGTGTGGTAAAATTTTATAAATAGCATATGACTTTTGTTCGACTTGTATGAAAAACAGCGATTATATTTGTTGTTATTTTTAAGCAAACAGATGATTAAATCTGATTGGAAATCTGCGAAATGTCATTCATACAAGTCGTAAAAGATACATAACGTGATAAAACGTTGTTTTTTAAATAATTTTAAAAGCGTACTTTTGTGTTCTAATACGTCGTATATTTTATAACATGTAGCATATATAATATAAAAAGGTTAAATATTTTTTAAAGTAACATGGATGAAATTATTGAACAAAAATATCTATTTAGTGGCCGATTTGGCCGCAAAATAGACCAATGTAAGTTACGTAAGGGCTGTGATACGTAGCACTTCTCAACAAAATGGTACTAAATATTGTCAAAATTCTATGTAGTTGCTGTGCAATCAGGCGGTTTATACATAAAATGCAACATCACTCATAAGTTATTATAACAAATCACAAAGATGCAGTTATGATAACATTGTTTTTCTTGACATATATGCGTAGGTTTTCTATCTAAAACCTACACCATAGAATTTTTACAGTATTAAGTACTATTTTTTATAAGAAGCTTTACTTAATTTAGCTACTATTTAGCATTGGTCTATTTTACGGCAGAATCGGCCCTTAGTGTATACCTAGAAAGAGCTTTTATTGAATTTCCTAAAAAGACTAGATTTTGATTTGGAGACTGTTGAAAATATGTAGGTTTAGCAGTTATTGTCTTGAAAATGAGTTTTTGTTACACTACAATTTATTTAAAATGAGCACTAACGATGGATCTGTTTGATTCAATGATTTGAAAAAAATCAATCACATGAGTATCATTTGAAGCAAATGTAAAATTTTAAGCATGCATGACAAAAACACGTGCGTAAATGTGCTTCTGAATAATCGAATGATATTAGGTGTAACGAATTCAAGTCTGTTACAATTTCATCAAGACGATGCGTCATTGGTAAAAACATGACCCATCGTATTGTGATCGTTATTATCATGTTACAGTTTCATTCTTTATCTGTTGTTTTTTTTCAGACAATAACTATATACAAACCAGTGACGTCGGCATTCGACGTTGGGCAAAAATTCGGTATGGCCCGCGCGCGTCTATTTGGTTCGTGGCTGCCATTTGAGGTTGAGTCTGTTGCCGCGTCTGGGGCCCCTTGGTATCCTTCGTCAGTGGGACACAACACAACACAAGGGGACACGATTGCTGAATTCCGGCCGCGAGGACTATACGCACGTCGGGCCTGACACAGGCGTACTCATGAGTCGGACAAGGTCGGGATTGTGGCAGCGAAGGGATTGGAATGTCACAAGGGACTGCGTTAGGGATCCAAGGAGACAGTGGTCAATGCTTGGTAAAAATTATTTCAAGATACATGAGAATTTAAAACATTCCCATTTGTTGAATAATTGATGTATAATGACCATAGACCTTATACATTGGACTGCTAGTCGAGCGCAAAATAAGTGCTCCAACATAGAACGCGAACAATCGTGAACTTTCCCGATTGATTAAATATCATATGTCATATGTTTTATTAACTTCCCGTAGGGCAAGTTATAGCAATCGCAAAAAAATCGAAAATGAAAATTTTTATATATCTTTACGTTTCAAAACCTTCTGAACATTTTGGCATACCTTAGAAAAAATGAATGTATGTGTGTGTATATGTGTGTGTGTGCGTGTATGTGTGTGTGTTCGGATACAAATTTTCGTCGACGATTTCGGGAACACGGATGAAGCGAATTGAATAATTCAAAAAACATTCGATTCGTATTGATAAGGAGACGTGCTGATTGGTTTTTGGCAGAGGGGTTTCCGAAGATATTGGGTAAAAAGTGTCAAAAACGATAACTCAGTTTTTAAGAGTACGAAGCGTCCGATTTGAATAAATCAAAAACCATTTTACTTTTATTAACAAGATGAAGAACTGATCAAAAGTTCATGAAGGTAGGTCTAGCGGTTTCGGAGATCTAGTAAAAAAAAGGGAAAAAAATGCCATCTGGCGGTCAAAAATAATCATTAGACATATGCACATCAAATTATCAGATATTTTATAGAGATTTTAACAATAAGTATAAATTTTGTTTACATTCCTATGGGTTCCGTACCAGTGTTTATCCGTTAGACGGCGACGCGGCGCTTACGTGCTTCGATATTTCGTCTCTATGCAGTTAAAGCAGTATGATTGCTTTGAAAAAGAGTTCAGAATTTCCAAAATATTTCAAAATAAATTCTTCTTCAAAAAGTCTTTTTTTTTCAAAAAAAGTAAGTTTTTGTCAAAAATTTATAGTTTCTCAAAAATCTAATTTTTTCAGAGTAATTTTTTTTTCAAAAATGTTAAACTTGTTAAAAAAAAAATTGGTACGGGAAGTTCCAGCAATTTGCCTTAAGGCACGATGCCATGCGCCCCACTAGTTTTAATAATATAATGGCAGATGGGCAGTTGTGGAGACTGATAATTTTGTAAGAAATGATATTAATAATATTTGCCCTGTGAAATAAATGTACATAAAATCAAATCCAGCTGTAAAAGTCGGTTTAAACATTATAAGGTCTATGTTAAGCACGTAACATATGACTTATGACATTTAATCAATCGGGAGAGTCAGCGATTGTCGGCAACGTTCGCTCAGCAGTTGACGTTACAGTCCGCTCTATGTTTCAGCACTATATTCAACGGAAAACATATGAGGACTATCAGTCCATGTAACGTAATGCCAATGACTAACGATGACGAACAATAGGATGACAAGAAGCTTTATATAAATATTGTTTTAATGTCCAAAACAAAATCATGTGATTTTATGCGTTAACAAAACATATGTGATTGTTCGAGAATTATAGTTTATACTTCACACAATTAAACAGGCAAGCAAGCATTGACCAAAGCCTTCAAAACATTCGTGATGTATCGGGTTCAAGAAGAGTAATGTGCTCAAATATTCAATGCATATAGAATATATATAAAAGCAAACTGGTGAAATCTAACACTAAAGTGTTGCAAACTAATGGAAACTTAAATCTCAAATGATTATCGTCATTGTTTAATCAATGTCAAAGTATATAATTAATTCGATTTCACCAGTTTCCGTATACAATGAATATTTATTTCGAATAAAAATTGATCATTTTAAGTATTTAAATAAAACATGACTTACCCATAATGAATGTCACAACACTCAGTATTAAAATAGAAGGTCCGTTCAACCAAACTGATTTGGCGAAGACCAACGAGAAACAAATCGTGAAACAGCTGATGGGCTGTGTGATACGATCACATAAATAAACAAACACGTACGGCAAAATGTTAGAAAAAATAATAAAGCGATTATGATGCTATTTCTAATAACTAATACATAACACTAAATATGTGACGTACGTTGTCGTTTCGTTCTGACTGAACCGTACCGGTAAAATGAAATGAAAAACAAACATAATTTAAAACACAATAAAAATCCGGATGATCAAGAAAAATGCGTTGGCATGACAAGATGATGACGCAAACAAGCGGTCTTCAAATTGGTTTATAAAATTTAGAACAGTCCGATCTCACCTTTGTACTTAGGCACGAACGGCTTGATATCGCCAGGAATGTTCTGATAGAAGTCCAATTCGCGGACGTTTAGCGGTTTAATCACCGTATTTTGATTGAGGAGCAACAGTCGTGTATGTCCTCCGACCTGGTTGCTGAGTGGTAGCAAGGCCACTTCATCATCATCTGGTCCATTTTCACCGACTGTGTCGTGGTCTCTCGACTGGCGAGAAATGTTGGGGCCACCGGATTCATCATCAGCGTCCAACTCGAAGTCAAGGCGAAAATCCAGGCGGGGAAAGTTGACTGATACATGGGGCCCTTTAAATAAAGTACAATGTTAATAAGAGTTCATTATAATAATATAAAAATATACAACAGTACATAAATTACAAATGATTGTATATTTGTTTTCAAAGCCATTTAACTAATTATACAATATAATTGTAATAATTTAAAATCTAATTACCCAATTACAAATGCGTCAGTTACTTCTATTTCGAACATATATTTCTGCAAACTCTCATTAACAAAGAATCTATTAACATAAAACGAACAAACCGTTATGGACACGTATTTGATTTTACAATTAACTACAAATATGTTTCTGAGTTTCATGGGACACAGTTTAAATTTATTTATTTACACTTCACATAAACACTAAAATGGAAAGCATACATTTTAGTTCACACATATACAATAAGCAAACCGAATGTATATTAAATTGTTTCAAGAGCAACCTTTTTAATTTGTTAATGCTTTACTATACAGGATGTTCTTTGAATTAGAATTACGCAACTTACGAAAGATATAATAAAAAAAAATGAAACTTATGCTTTAATAAGTGGCACGTGTTAAACTTGAATTAAAATGACGTTTTTTACACACAAAATAACGTTTTTTACACAAACAGTCGTTATACAACAGTTTTATAATGACATGTATAAATTAGCAGAAAAAGCTGTTGAACAAGATGCATAATACTCTTCAACTATTTTGATGGTAGTATGCTCATTTACATAAATCTATTTGCTTTAATGAATTTGAATAAAACAAAAGTTCTTAGATAGACTTTCGTACATAATATTTAAGTATAGAACTTAAGAATGAAATTCAATTCAATTATGCTTTCAACAATGAAAATGCAAAACTCAAGATCGAATAGAGCAAAACCGACTCTATTCAACTTCAATACTTCAATACTTATCTATAGAACTCACTATATGTCCAGTCCAGTCGCCGAAATTAGTTTTATAAATATTGGTTTTACATGTAAACAAAATTTAAAATTTTCAAGATTTACTATATCGCGATCAAAAAATATGATAAACTTAATTTTTAAAATTTTTATAACTGAGTCGACAATGTGATAGTACACTTCACTAATAGAGTAATTAAATATTAACTGACTTATCTTAAGAATATGTCAGTATGTCAGGTATTCAAACATTTATAATGTTCATTATTATGATCAATTTACAATCGTAGTACATTATCGCAATAGATCTCTTTTTATGGCAGGCAGATGTCAACTTCTGACAATATTTCATAATATTACTTGGATTTTTTATACTGGTTTTATCATCGATGACGTCTTACGCAAAGCGTGTGAGCCATTCAATTGATAAATAAAAAGTTATATTGACATTATACGCATATCAAACACTTAACAGGGTATTCTAAAATAAATATATGAATTCGATCAAAAATAGATACTAGAAGACTTCTTAAAAATAAATTTTCTAACTTCTCAAAAAAAGGTAGGTTAGGGTGGAGCACAAAAGTCCAATTTGCCTTTGGGCAATAATATTGTGAAAATGAAACCAATAATATCAGAACAAATAATGCATATCAAACAAATAAATATCTGATGTTCAGTAAAACTCTCGGCTCATGGTAGAAATGTGTTTTTTGATGTTAAAGGGGTTGTTTGGTTTTTTTTTCGATTTTGAAATTTTTTGATATTATGAAAACTAAAAACCTTAGAATTATTTATAAAAAATCATCTCAATATCTATTATTTGACGAAGTTATAGATATATATATATATCTCTATATGTATGATCCTCTGAAACCGTTTTTTTCATCGCTCCGCGAGCTATTGTATGCCAGCTGCTCTCTTTTTCAATATAACACCTCATGCCTCATTTGAACACCATAATGTATTTAGTACATTAAATTAGTACATTATATTAAAAACTTTAAATACGTTTTTCTCAAATTGACTTTTTTCAATGCGGTGCCACAAATTAAAAAAAAAACTACAAGTCAGATCGACTTGCATTTTTTTTAATTTGTACACCACTGCAATACTTAGTCCCCCTACCTCAAACAACTTGATAACATTACGCAAAAAAATTTTGCGAAGCTTCTCGCTTCATAAAATGGCCTTTTTTAATACTTTTTTTTAAATAGCTGCCATTTTTTTCCTTCTTGCTTTTTTCTTTCATTTTGGTGGAGGGACTGCATTCAAACTTCTTCTTCAACGTAGTTTTTTTTTTGTTTCAGGCGATGCGCAACGGATTTATCTGTGGCACCGCAAAAGAGATCGATTTTGCAAGGCCGACTTTGGCGGCCCCTGGTTAAAAATGACAGCGAAAAAAAAATTCTTAATATTCTATGATCTTGTAATTTTTGTTCAAAAAAAACCGCATGTCTCTATGATAACTACATTTCGAGAAAAACAAAAACAAATACCTTGCATTTTTTGTAAAAAAAACCTGAACAACCTCCTTTAAAAAAAATCTGATGAACCCTCTAGCCCACGGACCTTTAAGCCCCGCTTTATCTACCCTATTCATTATCCTTGTCTACTGACCTGCATCTTGTTTAGTCTTCTGTATTAATCTGGCTGCACTTGCTGCAGTTGTGATAATTTCAGGAACCGGCTGATTTCTATCCACTAGTTTAGCATTAGTGGTGACTGTTGCGGTGATCTGCACAGCTGGTTTAGGCTGATACGGACCCTCTTCGGTGCTATAATACACTTTGTTCGCATCTCGCCTCAGATCGCCCATACCCATCCAAGTGTGGTCCAGGAATACCATGCCCCGGTCGGTCCTTTGACGTACCAAACGATAAGCGAAATTCTCGAATGATGTTCTCTGAGGAAAGAAGAAATAGTTAGATATTAAGAATACATATAAAATTAAGATAATGCTTATATAGATAATCATGTATGACCATTATAAGAATATTTAAGGAGAAAAAGTATACTATCATAAATTCGTCTAATGAGTTTTATTTGCCAATATAGTAAAATGAATGTGTCATTATTATGAAATGCTATTCAAGAGAGCTGTGCCAATTTTCTATGTTGATCTATAAACTACAAAAAAATAGAGTCAAACTTTTTTTTAAATTGACACGAGTAGATAAAATTGAGGTATTACATAAAGTGATGAAGAAAATATGTTTTCACTATGAATATAGTCCATTTTAGAGCCAACTCACTGCATCATTGGTAACTCATTCTTAACTAGAAATTCAGTCAGGGGATAGGTTTTTATAATTTTTTATAAAAAAATTTCATATTAGTTTCATAATTCTTAATAATAGCTTACGAAATTATATGAAGATGATTACCATTCAAAGGTTCGATAAAAAAAAGTACTGATATACCGTGTATCCCAATGATGAAGATATTGCTGTATAAAAAGTTAAAAGTAATTTAAACAAAATAAAAAAAATCAATGAAACAAAATATATAAAAACAGTCTGTCATCGCAAATTGACTCAATTACCACAAACAAAAAATAAGAGCCTACTAGGACAAACTAGTGTGACCAAATATGATAGTTAATTAAATAAAAATAAAATTGAATATATTGCTTTAAAAGAAACTAATAGTATCTTGAACAAAGTTAAAGAAATATCAGCGCACAAAATATATATCAATCTGTCATCAAAAATTGACTTAGGGGAAAGTCCCCTAGTGGCGGACATCTAAAATTATTTATAAATATATCAAAAAATATTTCACAAAATGTGTATTAAATTATGATTTATATTAGATAACAAAGTTAGAAATCAAACTAAATTAACAAAACCGCAATCTTTGTTAAAAAACAATTAATACTATCAATCAAACATTGGTATAAAAAAATATGATTTTAAACATTGGCACCTAGTACCGGACATTTTAAAATAACCTGCATTGATCACATATGTAGCCATCTCCACACTCTGGAAGGTCTGCATATGTGTCTTCGACGAATATTCTTAGATATTGCAAAAAAGTAACTATTCATACCCCCTTTTGGCTGTGCCACACCGATGCTCTCAGCTGGTGCATTCACCATAAGCTTTTCATTCTTCGACTAGGAAATACGAAAAATGGGGGTATGTAGTGACCATTAGCACTCATACAGAACAAAATTAAATAATTGGAATAAATTACGTATATTCTCACAAGAAATGTTAATATGTTTACTGTCCGGAACTAGGGACGAAACTAATAGTAATGTGAAAAAAATTGAAGAAATATCAACACATCTATAAAACAAAATATATAAAAAAAATCTGCCATCGCAAATTGACTCATTTTGGATAATCGAAAAAACAAGAGCCTGCTTTGACTAACCACAATGCCCAAATACGATATTTATTAATAAATAAACTTTATTAAGTAATTAAGCACAAAATTAATTAAAGTTGACCTACATACCAGATGAAATACGTATTGATGTATTTAATTATTTATAATACAATTATTCTTGCAGAAAATAATTATATGCACAATGTGTTTGATCTAGCTGGTTGATAAATAATTACACTGAACGTTTGTCATTAAAAGTCGTTTGATCGTGATCAAACTGAATCGATTCAAGAATATATTTTATACGTGTTTGTTTGATTTATAAAATATTTGTGCTATGGTATTCTGCCATTGTTACAAAGTTGAATTACCATTCTTGGAAAATGCTAGAAATTCTTTAGCTTTTCAATAAATTTAAGATGAGATGCACTTACGTAATTTGATCAATTCAATCATGTATATTATATATATATATATATATATATATATATATATATATATATAAAGTGCTTTGAGATATTACACAAGAATTCGTTACCAGTTCGTGCCAGTATGCCCCGATATGAAAACGAATTATTTAATTCAAGACAATGGTACATGAAATATATCAATATTTGATAAAAGCAATTCTCTATTCAAATGATTGAATACTTATCATAGTTTTATTCTTAAAATTATATTTTTATCATTTATCTTAAGAATTTCATAAATCATTTGAATAATAAAATTGGAATTTTCCATTATAAATGATTGGTTGTTGAAAGAATGGCGATGCGATTCAATACTGCAATTAAAAACCTATTTTTGAATAGTCTGCTGCCTTGGAATGATTTGCAAAATATACGATGATGGGCTGTCGATTTTCTATCTAATTTATTAGTTCGTTTTGCATATCGTGTCTATTCATTTTGCATATCCATCGATTTATAAAGCGAAGCTATGGGCGAAGAGCTGGGGTACACATTAAGATAAAGAAAAAGCAAAATAAAACATTATAATAAACTATATTTATTATTGGCCAATATGTTTTTAAACATAACTTTGAAATTTAATTTTAATTTTAATATTTTTTCAATATCATTACAAATAATACCAGGTTTACAAAATATATTTGATTTGAAGTAAATTTATATTTGATATCATATATAGTTATTTTATCTAATAATAATCTTTTTGGTTTTATAATTTTATGATATTCGTTTTGCTTTATTTCAAATTAAAATTTTATAAAAAATGTTTCGACGTTTTTATTCTGTTCTTTCTGTTAAAGGACACAAATTAATTGTCGAAATTCAAAATTTATTATAAATATTTATACCATTTTTGAATTAACTGGTTTATTATATATGAAAAAAAACAATTTACAAATATAATTTCTCGCATAATACGCCACTTTTTACTCCAGTTTCAGCACTTCGAGACGTATGGTTCCTATTCTACATATCTTGCTTTTTTGGTTCTATCTCTAAAAAATCGCCTTAAAGTAGATTTACTGTATATATTAGTCATTTAATATTTAAATATATGTGAGTGTTTATGTATAGTCACATATAAATTAATTAGTAATATAAATCGTGAGCAAAATGTCGTATCAAACAAACACCTATCGTTCTGTGAAATGTTCAGTAAAATTCCCAATTGATACCTTATTATGAAAATGTTTATTTTTTTCTAAAATTTGTCCTCTGTCCCTTTTCACCACACTATCTTTTATTGTGTACACCTTTGTCAGGGTAAAGGTCTTGTCGGTTCTTTTTACCCAATCCACAATTAAGCTGTCATAGCGATATTTATATTTACCAAGTAGATGTTTGTGCGGATAATTATCTGAGAATCATATTACTGGTAATAATCATGTTACCTTCTATGATCATTCTGAAATTTATGAAATTACGCTTTGATAGTGAAAATATATAATTTTTTCCATATTTTAAAAGGCAAACTTCGTATATTTTAATTATGAAATTGCTGGTAACATTTTTATTTATCAAATTAACGGCTCGCAGAATATTTAACACAGTTTGCTTCAATGATTTACAATCTTAGAATATTTTAAATCGATAGAAAGTTACTTCCAATCACCTCAACCACTTTGACTTTAAATTAACCAATACAATAACATATGCTTGCAAATTATATTAAGGTTCATAAATCAAACAACAGTGCGCACAACTACAAAAACTAACAACGAAGGAAAATACCTTTGTTATAATTTCCAAAATGACTGTTCTGATCTCAATCAGAAGCTCGCAATCTCCTGATTGCAACTATCTCCTAATTACGAAATTGCTGCTTTGAGTCAATGGCTGATTCTTCATCTTTTTATCTCTACCAAAATTCATAAATTCCTAACTTTTCTTGTTTTTTGAGATACTGGAGGTGGACCTTTTCAACCACGGACCTTTATGCCCCGCTCTACCCTATAGGTATATTTATCTATATGTATATTTAATATAGAGTTTTTGGAAATTGCGATTTCAAACACAATACTTTAGAAATTGTGTATTAATATGACGTATTAAATCTTATTGGATCTTCTAACTAACATGTAATGAAAAAAACGTCGAAAATAAAAATTAAGAACATTTTTATTTCATTAATCAATGATAAAACGGTAAAGTCATTTCATATTTAAACTGCTCTACTTTCGTTACAAAATCTCCACCGGCTCTCCTCCTAACCTTGATTCTAATACGTCGACGTCTAGTGTACACACCTCGGTACGATTTCATAGACATAATGTCTGCTCGGTAATGTAACAACACAGAAGGCATTATTGTCGCTGTGATATAAGCAATGGAAATTTCCAATATGGTTCTCACGGAGCACTAATAAAAAAAAAACTTGTGCACCTAGAGCGTTTGCTCGCGAAGGCCACAATACCCTTTTCTTGCACACGGTAGAACCAGTTTTCTGATTACTTAGAGAGAGTCCAATAGTATTTTTTGCGTGACTGTGGATTAACTTTTGAGAAGATTTGTGGTTGAGTCGATTGGAAGTAACTTTCTATCGATTTTAAATATTCTAAGATCGTAAATCATTGAAGCGAACTGTGTTAAATATTCTGCGAGACGTAAATTAGATAAATAAAAATATTACCAGCAATTATAATCTTAATTAACATATATAAGGTTTTCCTTCATAAATTGAGCAAAAGATTATATATTTTCACTATAAAAGCGTAAATTCTTAAATTTTAGAATAATCATAGAAAGTAATTACCTGAGTAATATGGCTCTCAGATAATTATCCGCAAAACATCTACTTGGTAAATATAAATATCGCTTAAGGATAAATATGTCACTAGTAAAAGCTTTAATAAATGATAATATATTCATTGAAGGAAACCAATTTTTATAAATTGTATGTATAAATATAAATTATACAGACTTGCAAAATTCTCTTGAAACCAAATATTCCAATTAGAAAATAAGCAAGACAATATTTATGCGAGTACTATGATTATGAGAAAATTACTGTTTGGTTTAATTGTGATAACTTTCTCTTTGCTGCTCAAATGATTGATCATTATTACAATTAAAACATCGTTTTTAAGGACACATCAGA